AAGAGGGAAGCCATCCGGTGTGTTCGTGTATAGGGTATCCCACAGGGCCCAGGCTGAGGAGAGGCATCTTGGAATTGGTGCTGGAGCCAAAGTCAGTCAAGTCCAGCCGAGAAGCTGTATGCCTACACTGTCTGCTAACATGAGGCTAGGTAATGGTGGTCTTGAAGACATTCGCTGCCTTACTGATGATCAAGGAGCTGAGTCAAGGTCAGTAGAGCCATAAGGCAAGTGCTCCAAACAGGGAGCCTAAGGCCCCGTAGACTTGCAAGGAAGCACAGCTAACCCAGCTCAAAAAATTACATTTGGATATAGTCCCGTATGAAAAATGAACAGGTAGAGAGAAGAGTATGGGCAGGCAAAAGAGAGGAAGGGGGACCAAAAAGGGAAGCCGTAAACAGGAATGGGACATGTGAGGATTCTGGGAAAGGGGTGTGAACAGCCAGGAGGGGCATGAACAGTTAAGAGTAAAGGCTATGGACAGATCAGAGGGATTTTAGACAGGGGTATAAAGTAAGAATGGGGGGCATAGCAGGTGGAGTGAGGGCCATGGACATAGAGCAGAGAAGGGAGCCAGGTCAGAGGGAAAGACAGACAGGCAAGAGGGAGTAGAAAGTAGGAGTTGAGAGAAGTGGGCAGCGAAAAGGGAAGGGTGAAGACTGTGAGGTTATCACACAGTGAGACTACGGAGTATAGGGAATGGGAGGAGAGCGTTGGTGCACTGATGGCCACATTAATAATTCCTCCCTTCCCTGTTTGCTTTCGTCACCTCCTTCATGCCGGGCTACCCCATGCCCCCATGAGAAATCAGATAGTCCATTTCCTTAAACTGTCAGTGTGGAGTCCACAGGCAAGGCCTCACTTGCTCCGACACTGCTCTCAAGTCCTAGTCTGAAGTCTGCTCTTAGGTTTTCGCCATCAATGACAGTAAGTACACTCGGCCAAAGACATTTTAAAATTATGGTATGAAAATTAGGGTATAAAAGCTAAAAAAAAAAAAGTCAATGAGAGCCTTGGGATGTATAAAATCAAGTGAAACAAATCTCAAAACCTATAAGCCATGAATGTCCTGGGTGAAGTCTATTTTTCTTTTGTAACCAAAGAACATGAGGAGGGTAAGTGCTACCCAGTTGGAATGAACGCATATTTCCCTCTTACTCGTCTACCTCCTTTGTTTCGTGTTCATGGTCCCCATTCTACCTGTTCACAAGAGTCACAGTTGATTATGGGTCAGCAAGAGGACTTAGTGGTCTCTCATGTTCACAGACAATAGGGTCCCTGGGTCACCAGAACCTACAGCATGGGGATGATCACGTACAATGCCTTCTAAACCAGCTGTAATTTTTCCTTTATTTAATTTTGTTAAAGATCTTCAAATGAATGGGTTATTGTGTGGTCAGTTATGAAAAGACCTAGGTCTAACGGTGAAACCCTCGAATTTACAAACAATGAAACCGAGTCCAAGGAACATTTTAGGGCATCTATTAGAACGGAAGACTCATGTTTTCCCAGCAAAGACAAAAAAATGGAGGAATAGATATTGTACTGGGAGTGTTAGAATCCCAGATACAGCAGTCAGGAAGCAGAGGCAGTGAGGTAGAGGCCAGTCTGAGCTACAGAGTGAATTCCAGAACAGCCAGGGCTACACAAGAATCACAGACAGAGAAGGGTACAGGGCATAATCACAGAAACTTTATACATATTGATTCATCTGGATCCTTTTTAAAGAGCAGACCTTTCTCCAGTGATATGCAAAGTAATAGGATATGAGGCATGGTGCCACACGTCAGTGCTGAGGAAGCATGGGGCCATCCATGACACGACCTTGCTCTCTGTACATCTGTATCTTTAATATTTCTCAACTTCAGAAAAAATTTTAGACAAGGCATGTTCTGTAAATACGAGATAAACAAAAAGAGTCTGCCCAGTTGGCCCTCCAGCACCTAACACATTACATTAATAAGAGCTCTGCCCCGGTGCTTGAGCTAGCTCTTGGGAACCCACTCCCTATGCTGGGCTGCCTTGACCAATCGTTTTTTAAATTTTTTGTTGTTGTTTTATTTTTATTTTACATAAATTGGTCTTTTGCCAGCATGTATGTCTGTGTGGGGGTGTCAAGAACCCCTGGAATTGGAGTTACAGACAGTTTTGAGCTGCCATGTGGGTGCTGTGAATTGAACCAGGGTCCTCTGGAACAGGAGGAGAGGATGAAAGGGAAACTGGCCAGTATGTAAAATAAATGAAAAAAATATTTTTAAGAAGGAGTTTGTAAGAAGAGCAGGCACTGTGGGACTGGTAAGGGCTATGTAAGAAACCCAAACACATGGCAGGCAGTCAGACCCTCCCTTCTGCTAAGACTGACTGAGCCTAGAGGGGAAGGGACAAGCCGAGGTCCCTAGCAGCCACCACTAATGTCATACTCACATCTGAAGCATTTACTATTGGAGTCCCTGGGCCCAGTTTGGGCATATGGCCCAAGAGAAAGAGCCCAGATGGGTTGCTGCAATACCCTAAGGCTTTTGTTACACAAGCCGTCCCAAGGCCTTGATCAGCTAGGATCCTGTAAGGTAGGTAGGCACCCACGCCATGGTCTCGATAACCAGGCCTGGTTTCCCACCCACACTCTGGGAAGAACCAGCAGGTGGCCTACAACTCTTCCACTACCACAGATGTATCCCAAAGGACCTGTCCAGTCATGACTGGCCCGGGGAAGCACAAGCGAAGGCCTCTGAAGGCTCCTGGGAAGTACCCAGATCTCTCCAGTTCACCTTAGCACTAAGCATGGGCTGAGCAGCTCACTCTCAGAAGCCTGGCCAAGGCCTTGAGAAGCAGCTGGACAGACCTCTCTGGACAGGTCAGCTCCAGGGTCACCGCACAGCCTTCATTTACAAAAGCAAGCACGGGCGTTATGCCCTTAAAATATTCACCCGATTCTCACAGACAGGACTGTGTTTTCTTTCCATTTCCCAGGACCCTAGTCTGGGGACCGAGTTCCTTCTATCTCCTGCGGTCCTGTATAGCTCTTCAGAACATGGACCTGCCACCTGAATCTTATACGCGCCTCCATCTTAACTAGCTTTCCAATTTTATGGAATGTCCCCCAATAAGTTTCTGGTAAATATTTTCTGACTATTTGAATACTTCTTAGAAAAGGTCTGATATACACACACAATAAACACTGTCAGGTGCAGAATTTTACATTCAGTAGTTTCTATGGTGGGTGGTGGTGATCAGGAGGCAGAGGCAGGTGGATCTCTGTGAGTTTAAGGACAGTTTGATCTATATGGCAAGTTCTAGGCAGTCAGGGCTACATAGTGAAACCCTGTCTTAAAAAAAAATTAATCCAGTCTTTTATTTTTTGTTTTTGCTTTTTGTGACAGGGTTTCACTGTTTAGTTCTGGCTGTCCCGGAACTCACTTTGTAGACCAGGCTGGCTTCGAACTCAGAAATCCACCTGCCTCTGCCTCCTGAATGCTGGGATTAAAGGCATGCACCACCACTGCCCAGCTTTAATTCAGTATTTTCTATGAGGACTTTGAAGTTTAAACCTCAAAGATTAAGGCATCCTACAGTCAGTCAGAAAAGCCGTGGGTCACACCTGGGAAGGAGGGGACAGGACCTTGCAGGACAAGTAAGTGAGCGGAAGAGTGGGGATATAATTAACATGGTTCTTTAAAACCTTTTCTAATATTCAAATTTCTTTATTTTTAACAGCTAACGTTACTTCTATATTCAAAAGTTTTTGTACAAAATAATGGTTTTATAACACTGTTCACACATATGTATGTATAACACTATATTTTCACACGTATCTGTCACTGCACTTTGCTTGTACTCACCACCACCCCATTACTTTCTCTTGGCTCTCCTCTCCCCCAATTTGTTCATGAAGTAGCCAAGCCTACTTAAAATGACATCATGTCTGAAACCTCTGCACTCAGGAAGCTGAGGCAGAAGGATCTTGAGTTAGAGGCTAGCCTTGGCTACACAGTGAGATCTTTATCACAACATCTTTAGAATAGTAACAATAACAAAGTTTTCAAAATAAAATTTAAAAACATCAAAATTAAAAGACAGTTTTCCATAGGCACAAAACCTAACCTCCTAGGGAGAGATTTTGAACTCATGTTGGGCATCCACTATATTGGATGGAAGTTGCTCTCAGAAGATGTGTAACAGTGATCCGTGCCCCAGGGCATCCTGATACACTGTGTGCACACTGGTTCCACTGGTGTGGTGTTTCCTTCCAGCTCTCACAGGCGGCACAGATGCATGGAACAGTCACAGTCTGCCCAATGTCTGTTTTGCACACACTCAACAATTTAGAGTATATCTTTCTATTCACAGCACAGAAGCTTGTGACAGCAACATGAAGCCAGGGCTCTGTGGCAGGTGCTGGGCCTTGACTGCCTCTGTACAAGGCGACAAGACATTCTCTGCCTGCCTGAGGGGATAGACAGATGATCCCATAGAGGAAAACCATAATCATTGACTCCACGATGCCCACAAATCCTCATTCAACAGAATTAGGTCTAAGTCAGTAGCTACTAGGTGAAACTATGTCTGTCCTCACACCTGCATACCAGAATTATAGCCATCCTTCTACCTACCTCTACATATACTCATCATACACAGCCACCCTCCGTCCGCTGTCACGGCCACTCTCTGTCCACTGCTAAAGCAACTATGTATTTGATTCTGGAGCCACTGTGGCTGCCAATGTTATGCTTATCCACCTGGGCCACGTTAAGGACACACTGCAGAGTAAAATGCTTTCTTTGGATTATGAGCAACAGTACTTGAGATAATGTCCTACGCTGACCTGACCCATCAGGGCTCAAAGCAACATGGGGTTGCCCCAACAAGACATTGTCTAGTTAACAGTGTGTAGATGACCAAAGTTACAAAGCCCAACCCTGACAGGATGTGTCAAGAAGTTGGACATGGTCCCAGAGGACTCTAACCTTGAGCCTATAAAAGATCAAACACCCAGTGGTTGTCACCTGTGTCAACAGCTGATCCGATGTCAACTGGTTGATCCAACGTGTGTATCGCTCTGTAGAGTCCGGGGGGTCTCTCCTCACTTGGCATCCTATGATCTGTGAAAGACAACAACAAAAAGATTTTAAGGTTTTGTAAGTAAGTGTGAAATCCAAGGATTGGGGGCGGATTCAAGCAAAAACCCTTGGCATCAGGAGGAAGAGAGAACAGAATGCCGCTAGACAGACCCTTGCTGGTAAGCCACAGCCTCGTGTTGATACACAGACTAACAGAAAAGGGTTAACTTAAGATATAAGTGGGGCTGGAGATATGGCTCAGTGGTTAAGAGCACTGGCTGCTCTTCCAGAGGTCCTGAGTTCAATTCCCAGCGACCACATGGTGGCTCACAACCATCTGTAATGAGATCTGGTGCTCTCTTCTGGCCTGCAGGCATACATGGAGGCAGAATGTTGTATACATAATAAATAAATAAATAAATCTTTAAAAAAATAAATAAATAAAATGTTAAAAAAAAACCTTAAGATATAAATGTTAGCCAGAAATACATGTAAATGATTGGCCAAACAGTGATTTAAATAATACAGTTTCTGTGTAACTGTTTCGAGTCAGAGTGGCCGAGAACACACGAACAGCCACGGACAACACTCTGACAAGTGTTCTTATGTCACGGGTGGTGACGGTGAACCTGGGATAAAGCTCCAGTGTTGTGGGAAGGACAAGGACTGGTGTGGGGGTCTGAATGAAAACGGCCCTAATACGTTCAGGCATTTGAATACCTGGCCTCCAGTTGGTGGCACTATTAGGGCATGTTTAGGAGGTGTGAACTTGCTGGAAGTATGTCAGTAGGGGTGAGCTCTGAGGGTTTAAAGCCTCATCCTTTTTCAGTTCACGCTCTGCTTCACGCTTGCACTTGAGAATGTGATCCCTCAGCTTCCTGCACCAGATGCCATGCCTGTTACCTGCTGCTGTCTCCCCCACCCCATCACGATCTCTCTAGAGCCATAGCCACAATGAGCTCTTTCTGCCCTAAGTTGCCTCGGTCTTGGTCACAGCAACAGAAAAATCACTAGTACATTTGGTGCTGGTTTGCTAGGGGTTGAAGTTCACGTCTCACACAATGAAAGAGAATCGGTGAAACTGCAGTTGAGTTGATGTTCATGCATAGCTGGGTAGACAAAGTCAGTGAAATTCTACTTAGGAGCAAAGCTCCCACTGTATGTATGCTCAAGACTTTGCCCAGAAATATAGTGATTCTTCATTTACATTTTAATAAATAAAGCTTGTCTGAAGATCAGAACACATTAGTCAGTCATGGGCCAGGCAGTGGTGGCACACAACTTTAATATCAGGAGCCACACTAGTTAGTCATAGAGGCCGGGCAGTGGTGGTCCATGCCTTTAATACCAGCCCTAAAAAGGAAGATAAGACAGGAACTTGCTCTCTTTTAGTCTGAAGATTTCATAGAGGTAGGAGCTCTCTAGTGGCTTAGCTGCTTTGCTTTTCCTGACCCAGTATCTTTCTCTGGGTTTTTATGATTTGTGCTACAGTGAAGCTCTTGCTTTGCTAGGTGGGATTCCCTTCTGTATGCTGTGAATACCACTGGCTAATAAAGAAGCTGTCTTGAGCCTATAGCAGAGAAGGGCAGAACAGAGCTAGGCGGGGAAAACTAAACTGAATGCTGGAAGAAGAAAGGTGGAATTTAGAGAAGCCATGGAGACACAGCCAGAGACAGACAAGCTGAAACCTTGCTGGTAGGCCACAAGCCTTGTGGTAAAATATAAAATACTGGAAATGGGTTAATATTAGATGTAAGAGCTAACTAGCAATACGCTTAAGTGATTGGCCAAGCCGTGATTTAAATAATATAGTTTCTGTACGATTATTTTGGGAGTCTGGGCAGCAAGGAAGACAAACAAGCGGCCTCCTACTACATATACCCAAAGTGAAACTAAAGCTTTCACGTTACTGAATAGGCGAGGGTTGGTGGGGTTGTCCTTGGGATAAGGTTCCTACAGTACCAAGAGGATGAAGGTCATTGAGACTCTCTTAGGGATGAAGCTCTAGCTTCACAGGGTAAATGAAGGTTAGTGAGAGACTGAACTTTAGGGTGACCTCTTACCTCACAAGTATCCAGTAAGACCATATACCTAGGAGGGAATGTGGAATGAATATTCCTTTACATCGTGTGAATTTATGTCACTGTGATTGGCTTAATAAAAAAGCTGACTGGCCGATAGCCACGCAGGATAAAGTTAGGCAGTAGAACCAGACAAAGAACACTGGGAAGGAGGAGGAGTCTGAGGAGTCACCAGGAGACACAGAGGAAGCAGGAGATGAAGCTGCCATACTGAAAACAGGTACCACCATGTGGCCGACCTTAGATAAGAAATATGGGTCAATTTAAATGTAAGAGCTAGTTAGTAATAAGCCTGAGCCATCAGCCGAGCTTTATAATAAATAAGTCTCTGTGTGGTTAGTCAGGAACTGGCTGGTAGGAAAGAAAAGTCCACTTATAGGGGAAGCTCCTACCTCACAGGTTAAATGAGGATCAGTGAGACTATAGCTGTAGGAAAGTTCCTGTCTCATCTGTAAGAGTTCAAAGATATGGATTGGAACGGATAGAAAATAATAGCTTTGCTGTCTTTGAGGCTACTTCCTGAACTGGGGGATGAGAAAGTTTACTCTGTAGAGATAGACCCTGGAAGGCTGGTGGCTCCTCAACTCATCTATACTTAGTGCTTGTGGTAGATGTTCTTGTGCCTATTTCTAACATTGAGTTTGATTTCTGGAGCCTACTGGATTCAGCAGACACCCACACAGCCTATGTTCAAGGATTCCAAAGAGAACTATCAGCCATGTAGCGTTTATTTGTACACCACTCACCACCATGCTTGTCTGTAGTGGGCCACACAAGTGGGATGATGTGATTTTCCTGTCTTCACCCGCTTACCACCACCCTTCCCTTCATGCCTCGGCTCAGGAATCCAGTGGGAAGGCCCCTTGTGACAACCCGAGGATCCTGCAGAGCAAGCATGAGGCTTCCCACACTCTATCAGCTCCAGAACTGTTTAGGTTGCAAAGGTTCAGGAGACTGAGGATAGGAATTAATAACAATAATACATTACATTTAGAGCTTCTAATAATGCCCCAAACATAAAATCCAAGAATTCTGCAGTGATTCAAACAATGGGACACATTATCCCAGCTGCCATCAGGGGTCTTCCCTTACTAAGTAAGTGGTTTTTCTTGTAAATGGCCTCAAGGAAGTAACAACAGGGTAGGGACAGACTGCCAACATTCATTTCATTCCTTCTGAACAGACTAAGCATAATAATCAACATAGCCACCAACCAGAAACTACAGATTAGGACTTCGTAAGCCATGATTTTAAACCCAGAATCACAGTAACTGCTTCTTCTCAGGCTAATTTTGTGTTACAGAGCCAACGGTCCTGAGTCAAGAAGAGAAAGAAGTTCTTCACCAGACTCTTTAAGGTTGGGAGCAAAACGCAGCACAAGGTTCTCTACTCGATGCTGGACGGAGCATCTGAGAACTCAATGAGGACGAGCAGGAAAAGCCATAGTCTAGAACTTTAAGCAATATATTAAAATGCTTTAGCTCGTCAAGGCTGATTTAACTATAACAGAAATTGACAGTTTTCTTTTTTTTAATTCCTGAACATCTCTAAATACCACAGCTCATTTCAGTGAATGGCACAAAAGCTGCAGAATTAAGTTCACTAATGCAGCCAATCTGCTTAGTTTTAGCTTTGGGTAGAAATGAAAGGGATTAAAACATCTGAAAACAGCTATCTAAAATGTCAATACGTGTTACAGAATTCCTTACATGTTTCCAGCATATATAATATTATAATAACTGGAAACTCTCACTTCTGAGTAAAGCATATGGTATCTTACATGAGAACTGGAGCCCCAGCCCCAGCCAGCTTTTCTCTGCTGGGGCAGAGACAGGTTCATGTGCCTTGATTCCAGCAAGACCATCAGGACAGGCAAAGCACAGATGAACATGTCCTACCAAGTTAGGGGCAGCAAGCAGGCTCAATTCAGAGCAGGGCTTGTCCTTCATCCCCTGACTTCCACAACAAACATCATCTGTCAGGCAGGTACTCCAGAGGAACTTCTAGAAATTCTATCCCTTATGTTCACAGCACGGAAGTTTATTTTACTCCTAACAAACAGACCACACCAGAAAAGTCTTTCTCCAGATGATGAGGATACCTGCCAGTATCTCTGGCGACTGGGGTAGCAAACCCTGAACTGTTGGGTGAGACCTAGTGATTCCCACCCTGGGGAGCCAAAGGACAACATTGCCTGATGTAAATGGAGTTCCCATACACTCCATGACAGCCGCATGCTGCCAGACACTGCTGGCCAACTTCTGACATCTTTCCCAATTGAAAGGGGGGGGGGGGGGGGGAAGATTCTATGCTTTTGAACTTTAGAAAAGCAACTTCTAGAGTCTGTGGTCACTGAACACTGTGATTTGTGGCTCTTCAGCTCTGTTTACTCATGACCCTTTCGGGACACAATGAAGGCTACAGATCTTCCTTTCTCTTGCTGAAACACACTGCACACCCCTTTGGGCCCGAGTCCCCCAGAACCTTTGGTAATCACAGTGAAGGTGGCTACATTGATGCCCTCTGCTCCGAGGAGGGCAGTGCACATGATCACACACTACTGCCTACACATGGGCAGAGTAGCTCGTGTCCCTGCCTTAAAATTCTATACTAGAAGAGGTTCTGAGATCTCCCAGGGCAAAGCTCAACATCTACCCTCTATGCAGACAGAAGTGGCTGAAGCGTCAGAAGCAGCCTCAAAGGTAGGTTGGGAAGGACGGGCTTGGGAAGACAGGTGAGGCAGGCAGAGTAATAGGGACTGATATGGGCACATACCCTACCTGGAACAATTTCCACCACCAAGAATCAGAGCTGCCTCAGGGGATATAAAGGTACTATCCTCTGCCAGAGACCTCTCAGGAGCAACCAAGGCATGCCCTCTTATCTTACAGGTATATTCCACAGCACCAGCAATTCCAGCTCAGGGCACATAAGTCTTCAGCCTCTGACTTGAAACAGGATAGGGATAGCTGGGTGGTGGCGCACGCCTTTAATCCCAGCACTCAGGAGGCAGAGGCAAGGGATCTTTATTGAGTTCAAGGCCAGCCTGGTCTACAGAACAAGTTCCAGGAGAGCTAGGGCTGTTACACAGAGAAACCCTGTCTCGAAAAACCAAAACAAAAAATAGAATCGGGAACTCCTTACTCCAAGAGTGGGGCCTGAGGTCTGTGTTTGTACATCAGGATCAAAGGGAAGGGAGGGGAGAAATAAGTAAAAGGTGCCGACTTAGTGAAAGCAGAGTTCACACAACAACGCCTGCTGGAGGACAACCAGCTGCCCTGATGGTAAAAGGTTGATCTGATCTGAATGCCTCAAAGTATCCTTTGGGAAGGTTGCTTAGTGTCCTTTCCCCTCCGAATGGACCAGTGTAATATGGAAATAAAGGCCACTGTAGTCCGACTTGACTTTACATGGAGCTGGACTCCCTGGTGGGAAGCAACACCCTGTCCCGGGCGAGTGGCTACATGGCAGAGGATACCACTGCATCATAAAGCAAGCAATAGAGGGAGGGACGGAGAGGAGGAGGGGAGGAAGAAAGAAATCTGTCTTTTCCGTTTCAAAGTGACAAGGGCTTCCCAAAATGGTAACAGGATAGAAAGACAGTGGACATCAAAGGGACATAGAAAGGAGCCCTTTGCTTAGGAAGGAGATTTTGCTTGAAGTCTTTCCCTAGCTGAGAGTCAAGGATTTCAGTATAATTTAACAAAAATCTCCTGTAGAGGTTAACTACATAGGGACAATTTGTTTTTATACAGAGATATTTCAAGTAAGAGTATTATAACATGATAACAGATCATGCTTGAGGCCTAAGCATGTTTGACCCTGCTGCATTTGGCTTACTCCTTCTCCAGCTATAAAACGTCAATTTTCTGAGACTCTCACAAGAGTGTAAACTTTGCTTACAGTAAAAACATGTCTTAACTCCCTGTAACCTAATATATAAAAGATTCCTTCAACTCTTCTGACCTATGGTTTTACCTTATTACCCTTTAATCCTGTCCAACGTACCTCAGGAACTACCCTCTCTGATCTCATTTATAAAAGAAACAAAAGAGCAAAGAAAAAAGAATTTTAGAATTCTTTAAACAATGTAGCTTCAGAAGTCATCAAAATTATATGTACAGCGATTTTGTTTTTGTTTTTCAAGACGGTTTCTCTGCATAGCCATGGCTGTCCTTGATAGAACTCGCTCTGTAGACCAGGCTGGCCTCGAACTCAGATCCGCCTGCCTCTGCCTACCGAGTGCTGGGATTAAAGACTCTACTGCCACCACTGCCTGGCTATGTATAGCTACTGATAAGATCCTTAAACGACTCTCTTGAGAAGTCTATGCCCATACTCAGAGGTACGGTATCTTTTCCTAAATACTTGTCTATTAATACTCTGCTTAAATCTATGTTAAAAATCCCTTCTTAATAAACTCCTTTACTTCATAGTGACTTGTCCTGAAGTTCTTTTCTTTTTTGATGTTTTGTTTTTTTCAAATTGATTTTTTTTAAGATTTGTTTATTATGCATATGATATGCTGTTGGCATGTCTGCCTACATGTCAGAAAAGGGCACCAGATCTCATTATAGATGGCTGTGAGCCACCATGTGGTTGCTGGGAATTGAACTCAGGTCCTCTGGAAGAGTAGCCAGTGCGCTTAACCTCTGAGCCATCTCTCTAGCCCCAGAAATTCTTTTCTTTGATGAAAATAAGAATTCTGATCTCACTTAGTGGTGTTCTCTCTCTCGAAAGAACACCTTAGACTTCTATAGGCAGCAAGGTAGTTTTGCATCTGGTTCCTACTCTTGTTGCCACTAGCCAGACTCACGTTTATACCCTTAAAGGCTCAGAAACATGGCAGTCACAAATCTCCCCAATTTGACTGACTATAAACAGTCTTTCTAATCTCAAGGAATAAAATCTCTGAAATGAAAAGACTAGCATTCCATTAAAGATGGCGACACCACAGAAAAGGTGTTGTACTCACACTCGTTGGGTGCTGCACGGCCGCTTCATACTGCAGCCTCACTCTCTGGGGCATCATGACATCGTCCTGTGGAAAGAGCACGTTTTACATCAATATAAAGCAACTCCAACGTAGTAAGAAAGGCACACAGTCCAAGAACACAACAGTGTAGGCAACTCAGATATTCATAAACCAAGCTCTTTGGTCATCAAGGAAAAGCATCTATGTGACTGGTGGGAAAGAGAATTCTGGCAGTCAAAGTGTAGCTCAGGATGAAGGTGCAGATTTCCTAAGACTTAGCACTGTTACCATCTGTGTAGAAAAGGTCCTCTACCCAAGTTAGATTTGGACAGCACTTTCCAGACATGGAACATCCAAGTCAATAAATATCAAATGGAGAAACAAGCTACATCCAATATTATTCTCAAAGATCACTCAGTGGGGAATGCAGTCACAGCTGCACCGATCAGCAAATCCAGGACAAAAAAACAAGATACGGTATCACTTCACATACTTAAATTCAACCGTAGGAAAGTAGACCACGTTACTTAAGTGCACACATAATAAAAAAAAAAAATAAGGAAAAGAAAGGACCATGGAGCCCCAAAAGCTCACTGAGGTCACTCGGAACAGGAAGTTGCTGGAAGCTGTGGTGATATTTTTGATATTTTATTTGTGATCTAACAAAATGTGCCCGAAGATCAGAGTGTGGAGCTAAGCCACTAGTTTGCCATAGAGGCCAGACAGTGGTGGCACACACTTTAATCCCAGCACTCTGGGGTTCAGAGACAGAGGGATCTCTGTGAGCTCAAGGCCACCCTGGGCTATACAACTTCGATCCAGTCTAAAAGAGAAACAGAGCCAGGTGGTGGCTCACACCTTTAATCCCAGTACTTGGGAGTCACAGTCTTTAATCCCAGCACTAGGAAGGTGGAGAGAGGAATATAAGGTGGGAGGAGATAGGGGCCCAATACATTCAGTTTGAGAATTGGTGGAGATAGGATCTTCTCCACTCTGGTCCAAGGATTTGGTAGAGGTAAAAGTCTCTCTAGTGGCCGGCTCCTTTCCGTCTTTGATCTTTCAGCATTCACCCAATATCTGACTCCGGGTTTTTATTATTAAGAACAGTTAGAATTTGTGCGACAGGAAGCAACATCATAGCCAGTTCCTGACGTGTTTGCGATAGGAAGCTCCTTATATATGTTCCACAATACAAGGTTTATATTGTGCCTTTTCCTGCAGGAATGCTTCACTTCATAGTAAAATAAGGTATTTTCAGAGGACGAATAATCAACAAAGATTTAAATATTTAAAAGGGTGTGGGAGTAGGTGACAGGGGAAATACTTATAAAATAATGCTACAATAACTGGACCAGAAATTAAGGGGCCACTTGCCACTCTGGACTCCTTATGCCCATAAACAAACAGATAAAGAAAGGAGTTAGGGTGTATGCGAAGGTGGCTGACCCAGACTCCTGGGGGATGCAGATGACTTCTCTACAAAGGACTAGGAAGTATAGAGTGCAGGAAATTTCTTAAAGAGTCTCTTGGGGGGCTGGAGAGATGGCTCAGAGGTTAAGAGCATTGCCTGCTCTTCCAAAGGTCCTGAGTTCAATTCTCAGCAACCACATAGTGGCTCACAACCATCTGTAATGAGGTCTGGTGCCCTCTTCTGGCCTGCAGGCATACACACAGACAGACAGACAGAACATTGTATACATAATAATAAATTTTTTTTTTTTTAAAAAAGAGTCTCTTGGTTTGATCGTGTTCTGTGATTAAGGCTAATAAGAAACCACAACAGCACGATTCAGGCAGCATGACAAATGGCCCAGACAGTTTCCAGAATAAAGGTGTTAGTCACCTTCCAGGCAAAGAAGCAACTCCACAGAGGGCCTTCATAAACGATTATGAGACAGAGAATTATGGATGGAGACAGAAAGAATTGCCTATTGCCAACACTTTGGGGATCTGCTTTGATGCTGCTTCCAGTGACTTCCTGTTCTGAGTGACCTCGGTTTGGGCTTTTGGGGCTCCACTGTCCTTTCTTATTTTTTTCATTATGTGTGCACTTAATGAATAACAAGGTCAACTTTCCTAGGGTTGAATTTAAGTATGTGAAATGATACTGTATCTGTTCTTTTGTCCTGGATTTACTGATCCGAGCAGCTCTGCTTGCATTCCCCACTATGTGGACTTTGGGAGCAGTTATAATAACTATGACCATGTGACCAATTACAGAAATGAGGCTATCAAATTTCCAATACATTTCCACCTTATTTTGTTACAAACACATTAGGTAAACATCTTTGTTTCCTTCCTTTCATTCCCCTATTTCAGTTTTGGGTACATCAACTGAAGACTAGGACTCTCTGACGAAGAGACTGTATATGTTTAGCATAGCCGCACAGTATATTACAGAACAACCTAACTCTGGCTGGACCCAGGTGTTGTGGAAGGAGAGGCGTACACATGCCATATTATCAAAGGGTGGACACACACATGACGATTAATTCTATGTCTTGACTTGACTGGCCTAAAGGCTGCCCGGAAAAGACGCAAGATGCTTATGTCTGTGAAGGTGGATCTGAGAGAAAGAGGAGCACTTTTATCAGTGGACTGAGACCAATTCTCCCATCCTCCTCTCTTGCACACATGCATACGCATGACCACACCCCCTCTCCTCCTCCCCCCTCCCCCCCACAGACACACCACGACTTTACTGTTCTGGTTTCTTCCTAATACACATGGAATTAACCAAGACTCTAATTTTACAGTTTAGGGGAGCTATACAAAAAGCACAAATGGTCAGTACTGCTTGGCTCTCAAGAGCCTAAAGAATATTCAAATATGATTTCTACCACTTCTGCTGTTCAGAGTCAACAACTACAGTAAGAGCAAAGAGAGAATGGAATCAATACACTCGCTGGCCTGGCCAAATGGCCGAGAAGCTAAGGAAGATGAACAGAGACTCAATCCAAAGAGTTAACAGAGAAGCAGGTACTAAACTTCACAGACCACGGTGACCAGTAATATAAATAGGTCTTTCCTGACGCCACCAGACAAAGAAGGCAGCCCAGAGGCTGGAGAATGGAAAGTTTTGTTTTGTTTTTTTAAATGAAAGCAAAGGAGAACTTCAATAAAGAGTCAGAAGTGTTACTGCAGGGGAAGGTTTTCCCTTCATAGAAGTCAAACTTGACCTGCTGGCTCCCACTCCCTCTGTGGGCAGGACCACTCTGATCGGTTAATAAGAATCAGCTGGCACTGGACTGTAAAGGAGAGACTAACAGACCAAATCCAAGATGCTGTCAGCACCAACCGTGAACGCAGAGTGCATTCACGTCAGGGCTCATGCCAACGAACATTACCTGAGTTCTCAGTGAGAAGATGATTTGAAACATCATTACTGGCATTCCTGAATGTGCATAAAATTCCCAGAGGGGCTGAAATTCCACAATTATGAACAGGGAATCACCACTATGGAATGACGGGGCAGCCTTTAGAGAACAAACTGGAAGCCTCATAGAATGAGTATTTATAGGCCTGGAAAGATGGTCCGGTGCTCTTTCTGTGTTTCTAAAAACCTGAGTTCAGTTTCCAGCACCAACATATCAAATGGCTTACAGCCACCTGTAACTCCAGCTCCTCAGGACCCAATAGCCTCTTTTGGCCTCCTTGGGCAACTATACTATGAGGTGTACACACACACACACACACACACACACACACACACACACACACACACTTTTTAACTTTAAAAAAGCATTAAATAGGGTCTGGAGAGATGGCTCAGAGGTTAAGAGCATTGTCTGCTTTTCCAAAGGTCCTGAGTTCAATTCCCAGCAACCACATGGTGGCTCACAACTATCTGTAATGAGATCTGGTGCCCTCTTCTGGCCTGCAGGCATACACACAGACAGAATAATGTATACATAATAAATAAATAATTTTTTTAAAAAAAGAAATCATTAAGTAAGAATGAAATGCTATTCCATTCTGACATAAAGCTAGCTGGTGAAAGCCTGCTAGTCAAGAGAACTGAGAATAAATGATAGGCTTCCTGTGAAGTCTGAGCGAGATATGCTTAAGTGCAGAAAGGCTTTGGGGACACCAACAAATGCCACTGAGGACACACACACTAGTCTGCCTGAGTTTGGCATTTGGATGGGATGTTAAAACTTAGGAAGAAACTTCCTGTCAGGCGTCACCTTGTGGACTGAACTATGGAGGACTAATGTACAATCCCAGCCACCTCCTGAGCCTGTTCTGAAAAACAGTGTTTGGTGATTTACATAAGCCAAAGGGCTTGTAAATCCGCATCACTCCGACCTGTTAAGGTTTTCCCTATCAGCTGGCTTCCTCCCCCTGTGGTTCAGTCTCTCTGCAAAGGTCCTGTCTGTCCAACTCCAGGACCTGTGGTTCCTTCCCAGAGGATTCCACATAAAACTTTTCTGATGGAGAAGCCACAGGATGTCGGCATACCAGACAGATAGTGGCACAGCAAATCATAGGCAATCCACTGCTATTCCGTGGGCCAAGCAAAATGCACTGGCCCAGTGACTATTCCTCAAACCAGAAGCTCTCCTACATGTTACTTCCCTTCCTCTCAAACTACACACACTCCCTAGCCTCCCATACAGCAACAGCCTATAAACCTGGGATCACTTTAGGCTGGACGTGACCGCGAGTGTGCTGGGCTTCCCCCATCGCTACGATCCGTCACATATCTGTGGTCCTGCTTCATCTCTTTCAGTTCGTTCCATCCAAAGAACCTTGAGGATGAAGGGGCTCTGTCCTCAGCTCTGAATCTCTGCAGGCCTCTGCTAGGATTCACCGTCCAATGCAGACCTTATCTGGAGTAGCATGGATCCTGGGCTATGGGCTCATACCCCTCAAGAAGATGGCCAATTCAGATGCCATGCTACTTGGCTACACAAATGGGGAGTTGCCAAGTGCTAGGATTAAAGGCGTATGTCACCACCGCCCGGTGTAACTCCTGTTTTAAAATAACACGAGTGCACCTAAATTATAGACACACTCACATGAAATTTGTAGTTCCCTGCACAGAGTAGCTATAAGACAAGAGAAAACTAACCAAAGAGACAACTGTGAGATATGAGACACAGGTCCCTGTTTTCCCTCCCCTCCTTGTCTGTCATGACTTCCAGAGCTAGTTACACACAGGCTCAGAATGAACAGTTTGCTTTCTGTTTTCAGCTTAAGGGAACAACTAAGCACCTAAAGGTGGAGCCAAAAACTTGAGGGTAAAGCTCAGTAGAGCAGCAGTCCACATGGATCTTTTCTGCCAGACACATGCACTGGGCCAAAGACAGTGACAGTCCCCACTTGCTTCCTAAAGCTGAAGTGGGTTCTGCATGGCTAATACCAAAGCTGTTTTATAAATAACCTCACCCTAAAACAGACAGGTCAAATACAAAAATCACAGAGACACTTCCTTGTCCAACTGGCAACATCTGCCTTCAACAAAGTTACAAGCATGCTGTCTAAATACAATAAAGATAACACTATGCAGAACTCTTGACTTCAAAATGTCAGACCTCCCAAGGTAACCCTGTGGGTCAGTTCTCCTCCTGTCCCTTGCATGAAAGGGAGGCTGCATCTCCTGGCCTATGTGACCTTCCTACCTCCATGGACCTGGAGTAACCAATGAGACAGAAACAAAACTTGTAACAGCTGTATAAACCAGTGGCCAACATATCATGGGCCCTGGTATGCATGTTTCTAAGAAGCCAGGGACCCAACGTATGGAATAATTTAGATACATAAAAGTTGTATTTGTTTAAGACAAACTGATTTGCTTTGCTTTAGTCTGTCAGGGTTTCTAAGCACAGCACAATTTGTATACAGTCTCTGTTCATCCGCTGCAGCTAAGTGTCCCATTCCTGAGGATGCCCCATAAACGTGACAGTTCTGACGGTCTGCTAGTGTTCTCCTTCAGTGCTAGCACACAGTAACCGGCTTCTAATTTCTGTTATAACAAACAACTGTGAAACTCAGGAGTCAAGAGCACAAGCATTTTAAGTTCTTGAATAAAATACACAATCACGCTATCAGTGTGGTCCCAATTCACACTCACATTTTGAAAACTTACTTTGTGGAAGTATCTTGCTAATTTAATCTGATTACAAATTAAAAGTTTAATATAACGTTGACTGATTTGAAACTCTGTGTAAGTCTACCTGTCACAGCTCGGTCCACTCCTGACCCCCACCCACGAATCCGCTTCATGTTTTGCTCTAGCTGTCAGGACCTGTTTCCATGTCTTTAATCTCTTAAGATCATGCTTGCTAGTACTGTGCTTATGTTAATGTTGTTTATATTCTCTGTGGTCCCGTTGCACATTTGTAAATGATCTTACTAGTGTTAATTGTTACGGCAGCATATAGCAACAACCTATTAAACTTGACTTTTGAGATTCATCATAACGTGTCGACAAATTTATTTTTAAGAACCATACTAAAATTCACAATCATTATTTGGTCAATATTACACAAAGCCATTATCAACAAAACAGGGAGCTACTTACTGAATCCAAAAAGCAAAGGTAAGACCCAGTGCTCTGTGCGATTGCTTGGTTTTTAGAATATCCAACTGTTAGGAGAAAAAAAAAGAGAGAGAAAATAGCTCTTTTAGAATTCAACGTTCAAGAGCATAAAACTATATTTTACAAGAAAGCTAAGGTCATTTCACACTACTAGAAAAACGTCAGGTATAATTTTGAAGGGATGAAAGGAAGGTAAAGAGAAAGCAATGCCCATGCTCACTGATGACAGCAGAGAATGCCAGGAATAAGTGACGACAGGCACCCAGAACAACACTAAAGTAAAAGTAAAAGATCCTTGGGGAGAGTCGAAAAGTCTGCTTGCACGGGAGAAGCACAGCCTACTTATGTGTGACTGGTTGGCAAATACCTCAGTTTGAATACTTCAAGGATGGCTGGCTGTGTCCCTAGTGAGGTGAGGCGACTGCTAAACATCTGTGACACCTGAGTGTGCGTCCACCCAACCCAGGTCTTTGCCCGAGCATGAATATTCAGCTCTGACTGCAGCAAACGCTGATTACTACAGACCCAAAAAAACTTTATTTAGTCATGATTAGTCATCCTAAAAGCCCACAGCTGGGGTTACTAAATGCATATTAGAAAAAAAAAAAAAAACAACTTATTTGACAGTGGAAAGAGTCCAGGATCTCACACAGAATCGTAGGTGATCCTTACTGTACTACTGAGCAAAGAGTTCAGACCCAGAGCAGAGATTGCAGGGGACAGAGAACTCAGAGCAAAGAGGTTCTCCTGGGCTTAAGAGCTAGGAAAGTGCTTGTCCTGGATGGAGAGGCCAGGTTAGCCTGGGCTTCAGGGGCTGAAGGATGAGGGATGCCTTATCCCCAGGGGATAGATATTAAAGTATATACATTATAAAGTTTCCTTCAAAGATATTACATCCGAGATATAAAAACCAAAGCAAACAAAAAAATCCACAGTGACAACTAAATGTGCTGAAAACGCACAAGACTTTGGAAGATAAAATCACCACAAAGAGCATTACAGAGAGAACTGTGCTGTAACTGATATAAACACGAAATGGAAAATGCAGGGCAAACACTGGAGGGCACCTGGTGACTTGGGTGTAGCCGTGTTTAGGATGGAAGAACAAACCACTTCTGGAGGGGCTGACAGTTGGGCTAACGCGGCTCAACTTTGCCCTATGGGAAGGACAGTTGCAAAGGCTTGGAAATTTGGGGTACCTGTGCGGAAAGTTACAGGAGCTCAGCCTGGGTGCTAAAGGCAGATCCCTTAAAAGGTGTTCAGTCCAGAAGAGGGCACTAACGGGGCTTTAAGGAACGAGAACTCTACTCCTAGAAAAGAGACAACCAACACCTGAATCACGTTAACCAGATCGTTACAAGTCCTGATGCCACTGGAAAAGTCACGCAAAGCAAAACAGGTGTGGACAGAGTCGAGATAATAAATCTCTTTGGCATTTGAAGTTAAGACAAGCTGAAGAAAGTTGTCAGTCCTGAGGGAACACCACCCTAACATGCATTTAGAGCTAACTATGACACTCGCGACTTTCTGCTATTAAGAAAGGCCTCTTATACAGGGTCTGTTAATACAAAAGAGTTGCACCTCCCCCCACCCCTCAAGGGGGAGGGAATGATAAGACTCAGAAGCAAGACACAAGACAGGGGAAGCTGCCCCGGTCACTCACGCCCCTAAGATCCAACCCAAAGCAGCATCTTTCCGCAGGGTTCATACCAAACAGCAGTTTAATTTCTACCCTTAATCCCTAGAATTTGGCCGGTCCGAACCAGTTAGCAACGGCACCAGATTCTGATGAACTATAGGCATAAATAAAAGCAAAGGGGGTAAACGACTAAGAAAGGAACGTGATGCCTCCTACTGTGAGATAGGTTTGCCACCACCAGGAAACTCCAGCCATCCCTGTGGCTCAGGGCAAGCATGCAGGATAAAACCCTCCCGAGAACCTCAAAAACAAGATGACACTCCTCACAAGCACACTGAAATTAACAGAATTCTGCCACAAAAGTTGCTTATGGAAAGTCAGATTTTAAGAAAAACTGAATCCGTGTAATGCTGGAAGATTCTCACAATGAATCTTATGTTTGGCAAAGACAAGGAATTTGCTCTAATATTACAGCCTTGAAGAAAGTCAAATGTTTGTGCGTGGGGGTTCTATGTTTGGGGAGGCCAGTCCCTTTGTAAGGGCAGCTGGTTGCCATGGTTCCAACAGGAAAAACCTAGCTCCATGGAGATATTAACATTCCTCACTCCTGGAAGAGGAGCAGTGGGCTGTGGTTCACTCTGCCCTTAGTAAAAAGTCACATGATGAAGTGCATTCCTGTTGTTACGAGAATGTTACGAAAAAATGAGTCCTCCCCACTGCAAATAACCCAGCACTCCTGAAAACAGAACCTTCGAATTTATGCTAGCTAAAGACGTTCTACTTAACGCATTACAGGAAAACATGTCTTTCCTAAGAGCCTACTAAATTCCACTGTGCCATACAGAACTTCCCAGACAATGAGGTGATGTCATCGCCCAGCACTTCACCTAGGGTCCTTAGTTCTATAATGTCCTTGGCACAGATGCATTCAGACACAATAACACTCAGTGACAAACCATTGTGTTTTATGAAAGACAATCTGTTTTTACAGTGGAGACAATGAACATCAGTACCAAAATGCACTTTCCATTCAATGATAGAGGTTGCAAAACCCCTCTCTTAAGTATATCAAGGAATATTTAGTTTCAAAAACAAGTTCATTATTTCAGAATTTCAGAAGTTGAAATGTATATTCTGTGATAACCTATACATAGTTTTCTACTTCAAAGATAATAAAACTAGGAAATAATTTCCAGAAGATATTGAGATTTTCCAGACATTAGGGTTGGATGAGTGGGGATAAGAGCCTGCCGGAACTGTACCACCTCAGATGTTATCATCTTCTGTGTGACAAGGTCTCTCGCAGACCTGGATGTCACCAAACAGGCTCAGTTGGCTGTCCCGGGATCTGCCTGTCTCCAAACAAGCCACCACACCCGGCTTTTTGACACAAGTTCTAGGAATTAAACTTGGGGCTTCATGCTTGTAAGACAAACACTTTACAGACGGGCCGTCTCTTCAGCCCTAGGAAGTAGTTTTATTTAAATTCTGTCTTAAGAATTGTTCATGCCATTCTGCTTCCTCAAACAGCCATGATGAGGCAACACCCGGGGGTTCGTCTTGACAGAACAGGTTCAGCTGAGTCTTGGCAGCTGACCTCAGCTACTTACATCTACCCTGTACTTCACCCAGAATAACAAACACAAGATGAACTAAACAGCGGGGACAGAAAAAGGAAGTAACATCAGCAGGGCAGGCTTTCAGACTGGGAGGGTGCGAAGTATAAGCTCCTTTCAGAAAGCTGGCAAACTGTTTCCTGAGGACTGAGCTTGGCCTAAGGTCCTGAAGACACTGTGGCCCAGTATTCCATGCTACCTAGATGTCTGGATATTGGGAGGGAAACCATGACAGCCCCGGCCCCCAAGAATGAAATAGGAACTGTGTAAGCTCATGGTGATATACACTCTAAAAATTGAGTAAAGCAAACACGGTAGCAAAGGCCTATAATACCAGAGGGTTGAGGCCGGACGGCTGGCTACTCAAAGCTGATGCCAACTTGGGCTACATGATGAGAGGTAGTGGGGAAAGAAAGGAAGGGAGGAGACATCACTAGGTGACCCGAGGCCACAGGACCATCATTATCATCCATATTATTATCCGTGTTCCTGAAAGCAATCATCCGGACGCAACACTAGCAGAAAGGAGCCGTGCAGCACCAGGTTGGCAATGGCAAAACTTGTCTCTTCCTGACAGCCACTAGGTTATAACAAGCACACCCACACCTCCGCTTCCTCCACCTTCCATACCCCAAAGTCTCAAAGGAAGCTGTTGAGAGGCCAGGCTTGGGGATTACATGTTGGCTCTAAGTCGGTCCTAGCAGCAGCAGGTCCTACGCACTCAGGCTGTCACAAGTTGTTTTCTAACAGGAACCCTGCCTGCCCACAAAATACACTAGAGCTGTATGGACTACCCCATCTGGACAACGTAAACAAAATGGGTACAGTGTGTGTACTGGTTTGACACCCAACTTGTCATAAGCTAGAGAAAAGGGAACCTCAACTGAGAAAATGCCTCCATCAGATTGGCCTGTGGGGCATTTTCTTGGCAGATCACTGATGTAGCTCAGCCTACTGTAGGTGATACCACCCCTGGTCAGGTGGTACAGCGAACTGCTGAACCAGGAAGTACAAGCAGGTAAGGCGTGTTTCTCCACGGTATCTGCTTTAATTTCTGCCTCCAGGTTCCTACTTTGAGTTCCCGCCCTGACTCCCTCAGTGATGGACTGTATGTTATAAGGTGAAATAAACCCTTTTCTCCCCAAGATGTTTTTGTTAATGGTGTTCATCATAGCAACAGAAACTTGGCTAAGACAGCATGCTACTCTTGATATTTTAGAGCAGTGGCTTTCGACCCTAAGTTTTTCTCAGAGCTCCTGGAATACTTCCACCACTTCCAGTGCTGAAACAAACAGACGCTGTGAGAACATCTTAGGCAAGACTTGGGTACCAGGTGCTTTAAAGTATCACAGATGTTCCAAATGCAGCCACACTGGATACAAGTAACTATCTCTCGGCAAGTAACTTACCAGCTCTACACCTGAAGCAAAAAAAAATAGTGCAGCGATGGTAAAAATGGCTTAGTGGGTAAAGGTGCTTGCCACCAATGCTGAGAATCTGAGTGTGGTCCCAGAATCCATAAGGCAGAAAGACAGCATCAACCTCCAACTACACACGTGTGCCCTCACACTCACACCCACTCACGCCATAAATTAAAGTTAAAAAAATTAAATTTTCTATGAACAAGAACTAGCCAAAGAAGATCCATCTGTCACTACAGATGACCTGACCTATCCCTTTTCTAATCTTAAGCACTATATGAGGCACACTATTGTAGGATATTTTACTCTCTTGGCTTTTTAGGGGGCCTGCCACCCAGTTCCCAAATAAATAAACACTGGCTTATTATCAC